GCCTTTTGCTGCAGTTCCAGCTGCAAGTCTCTTGGGGTTTGTCTCTCTCAGTTTTGCCCATTCTTCTTGTAAAACAGCTCGAGCTCAGTGAGGTTGGATGGAGAGCGTTTGTGAACAGCAGTCTTCAGCTCTTTCCACAGATTCTCGATTGGATTCAGGTCTGGACTTTGACTTGGCCATTCCAACACCTGGATATGTTTATTTGTGAACCATTCCATTGTAGATTTGTCTTTATGTTTTGGATCATTGTCTTGTTGGAAGATAAATCTCTGTCCCAGTCTCAGGTCTCTTGCAGACTCAAACAGGTTTTCTTCCAGAATGGTCCTGTATTTGGCCCCATCCATCTTCCATCAATTCTGACCATCTTCCCTGGCCCTGCTGATGAAAAGCAGGCCCAAACCATGATGCTGCCACCACCATGTTTGACAGTGGGGATGGTGTGTTCAGGGTGATGAGCTGTGTTGCTTTTACACCAAACATATCATTTTGCATTGTGGCCAAACAGTTGGATTTTGGTTTCATGTGACCAGAGCACCTTCTTCCACATGTTTGGTGTCTCCCAGGTGCTTGTGACAAACTTTAAACAACACTTTTTATGGATATCTTTGAGAAATGTCTTTCTTCTTGCCACTCTTCCATAAAGGCCAGATTGGTGCAGTGTACGACTGATTGTTGTCCTATGGACAGACTCTCCCACCTCAGCTGTAGATCTCTGCAGTTCATCCAGAGTGATCATGGGCCTCTTGGCTGCATCTCTGATCCGTCTTCTCCTTGTTCCAGATGAAAGTTTAGAGGGACGGCCGGGTCTTGGTAGATTTGCAGTGGTCTGATACTCCTTCCATTTCAATATGATTGCTTGCACAGTGCTCCTTGGGATGTTTAAAGCTTGGGAAATCTTTTTTATCCAAATCCAGCTTTAAACTTCTCCACAACAGTATCTTGGACCTGCCTGGTGTGTTCCTTGGTCTTCATGATGCTCTCTGCGCTTTGAACAGAACCCTGAGACGATCACAGAGCAGGTGCATTTATACGGAGACTTGATTACACACAGGTG